TCCCCACCAGCCAAGGTCCTGCTGTGCAAGGGCCCCCCACCGAGCCTCGCCGGCAGGTCTGGGGGCCTTCAAGCCCACCCGGGTCCGTGGACGGTGAATGTTTCCTCCGATGACACCGGGCGGGCTGGGGCGGGCGAGCTGGCCGGGTGCGTGTCTGTGCCCTCTTGTCTGGAGAGTCCCACTTCAGAATGGTCTCCAGGCGCCTGTGCTCTTCCGGGGGACGTCCTCACCGCAGGCAGCTCCCTTGCTCTTGATGGTGGCCCGAGGATGGGCCCTGGGGTGGCCCTGGGGTGCCGGTGGCCCAGGCTCTGCCCAGCAGCTCAGGGGCCTGGCCTTCCCTTTGCCTCCCCTAGTGTACCCCTCTCTGGAGTCCGATGAAGACAACCCTGTCTTCAAGTCCCGGTCAAAGAAGAGGAAAGGCTCCGACGACGCTCCCTACAGCCCAACAGGTAGTGCTGGGCCGACACCCGTACGCACCGTGAGCTCGCTGCTGCTCCGCCCGAGAAAGTGGGTCCGCCCTGTGCCGGCCGTCCCCGCGGCTGGGCACTCGTCCTGCCAGGGACGGCGAGCTGCCTGCAGAGACGTGCGGAGGCTCTGCTGTGCTTCTTGGCACCTCCGAGCCCAGACGCGCTTCTCCGCAGCCCCTGCTCAGGAGCCTTCACCCCTCGGGCCAGCCCCTCCACGCCAGTGTCTTCCTCGCCGAGCAGCTCTGACAGTCACCTTTGTGTGTGGTGGCACCACCCACTCTTGCCGCCTGCCCGCCCTGCCTGTCTTGCAGGGACTCTTGGGCTCTGCCTGTGGAGACTGCGATGTGGCGTTGTCCCCTTGGGGTGGGGCACCAGCCCTGCTCTGATGTGGCTTCACATCCAGGGAGCTCGGTGCTCGGGCCCAGCTGGCCACGGGGCCGGGCTGTGGGGGGATGAGAAAGTCCCCAAAAGGAGGCTGGAGAGGCTGCGGCTGGCAGCTTGAGGGGACTGGCCCTTCTCTTCCGCAGCAAGGGTTGGCCCATCGGTGCCAAGACAGGACAGGCCTGTGCGTGAGGGTACCCGAGTGGCCTCCATCGAGACCGGGCTGGCAGCCGCTGCAGCCAAGCTGTCCCAGCAGGTGAGGAGGGCTAAGCGAGGGGGACACCACAGCCAGGCCCCGATACCACGCACAGACCACCTGGGTTGGGGGCTGTCACAGGCTTGGGGACGTTTGCTTATACAGTGCACCAATTCCTCCTCTTCCCAAATTCCCTGTAGGTGGGGGCAGGGGAGCTGGGAACGGACAGCCTGCGCCCTGACACAGGACAGTCCCTCCTTGCTGAGGCTGGGCTGCTCTCAGGGGAGGGAGGCCCCTCAGGAGACCGAGTGGGGCTCTCCCCCGCTCCTGGCGATTCCAGTGTTTCCGAGTCTCCTCACGGCTGGGAGACCGGGTTCCCTCTGCACACGCCCCTTCCTTCCAGTCTCGTGTGCCACCTTCTGCTCCTCCCAGCTCAGAAAAGGGGGGTCCTAGAGCCTCAGGTATCTCCTGGACCAGGCCTGACACCATTTGGGTGCCCATGGGGGTTAATAGGATCAAAGAGAATATTGTTCCAGGACCAAGAGACCATGGCAGCTCAGAGGGGGCTGAGGTGCCTGTCCTACAGGCCCAACTGCTGGGTAAACTCACCTGGAGTGGCAGGCCAGGCCAGCTGCCCCCAGCTCCGGTGCCATGTCCCCACGACTGCCTGTGAACGAGGGTGGCCCAGGTTCAGGCCTCAAGCCCCCGCTGCCAGCAGTGCTGTGTGGGTCCCCAGCAAGGCGCGGGCTGCTCCGCCGCCCTGAGTGGGCGTGTGGCAGGCTGCCCTCCTTATCGCGCCTGTGTGCTTTGTTCACAGGAGGAGCAGAAAAGTAGGAAAAAAAAGAGCACCAAGAGGAAGCTGACTCCAAACACCGCCTCCCCCTCCCCCTCGGCCTCGGCCTCCGCCTCCATCTCCATCTCTGCCGGTACCACCTCAGCCTCCACCACGCCAGCCTCCACCACCCCGGCCTCCACCACCCCAGCCTCCGCCACCCCGGCCTCCACCACACCGGCCTCCACCAGCACGGCCAGCAGCCAAGCTTCACAGGAGGGCAGCTCGCCCGAGCCGCCCCCCGAGTCTCACAGCAGCAGCCTGGCTGACCACGAGTACACAGCAGCTGGCGCCTTCGCGGGGGCCCAAGCCGGCCGCGCCTCCCAGCCCATGGCCCCCGGGGTGTTTCTCACACAGAGGCGGCCCTCGGCGTCCTCCCCCAGCAGCAACAGCAGCAGCAGCGCCGCCAAAGGTAGGCGCCTGCCGGCCCCGCGCCCGCGCCCGCGCCAGGCTCGCAGCCCCCACCCGCAGCCGCCCGCGCCAGGCTCGCAGCCCCCACCCGCAGCCGCCCGCGCCAGGCGCCCCCGCCAGGCCCACCCGCAGCCGCCGCCGAGGTAGAGGGCAGCACCTCTGCTGGGAGGCGCCGGGCCCCAGGATGGCAGGTGGCTTTGGCCGGGGTGGCCGCCTCCCAGCACCAGCATGTCCCACAGCGCAGGCGCGAGCACTCCCACGCCGCCTGCGCAGACGCTCAGGGCCGCTGTGCTGCGCCCGGGCCGGCTGCCGACAGTGGCTCCCAAGGGGCCTCACTGCCAGGGGTGGGCCAGCACCCTCACATCCTCCTCGTGATGCCGCCGGAGCGGGTCTGCCCCACTTGCCATGGCCCCGGCGGACGCAGCCTCTGAGCTGGCCTCCTTGTTGGCCACGCGCGACTTCTGAGGGTGCGGAGCCCCGAGCTCGGCCTCACAGGCCATTTTACAGACAGGGGCTGCAGGCCGCCTGCTTGGGGTCACCAGGACCCCACCCCCGCACGCTGCTCCCCTTGCCATCTTACTCACCTTTGTTCTCTGTGTCCCTCCTCTATCCCCTTAGGAAAACGTACAAAAAAGGGCATGGCTACTGCCAAGCAGAGGCTTGGGAAAATTCTGAAAATTCATCGGAACGGGAAACTGCTCCTTTGAAGTCTGGAAAGCCAGGACACTGCTGCTCCGCTCAGGACCCCTGGAGCCCCGCGGAAACGTCCGCCCCCCGAGGAGGGCGGCCCGGCTGCCTCATCCAGGAGGGCCTCGCCTCCACACAGCCACCACTCCCCCTAAACGCGCGTCTGTCCCTTGAGCAGGAGGAGCGAACCACGCGTGGCCGTCCCTCGTTTTGAATATGGACATCCTTTCTCAAGTTGCTAAGAGTGACCAGCTCCTGAAAAGTGGCCCTGCCAGTTTGAGGACTATTTATTCCACTTTCAGGACAGCCTCTAGGCACCCGAGTGTGGGTATGATTGCAGGGCCTCCGCAGCTCTGCTGAGAGCACGAGTCCTTTGAGGAAGGCGGAGTGAGCCCATGCTCACCAGCCCCAGAGTTTGAGCTGGCCGCAGGCCGGTAGCCTCCAGAGGCTTAAAAAAAGGCAAAGAACACAGAAGGTGGAGGAGCAAGCAGGATGTTTATGTATCCCCTTCTCATCCTGAGTGATTCTCAAACAAGTCCAGAAAGCGCTCAGCTGGCAAGGAAGGATCTGCCCCGAGCTCCCTGGTGGCAGGTGGCAGGTGGCAGCAGGATGGTGGGTGTCTTGCCCTGAATGCCCAGGGGCATTTCTCGGGGGCCGCTAGGACTGGCAGCCAGGTCAGTGTATCAGCAGGCAGGGGAGCCATTGTGGGGTCCCCAGGAAAGGGCAAGGGCTCAGCCACGTCTTGGGGCCAGGGGCCCAGGCTAAGCCGAGTGGAGGGACCGGTCTAGCCCTGCTGGCTACCCTCCAGAGAAGCACTTCTCAGCCAAGGCACCCTGCCCTAGGACTGGCGGGGCAGGGACAGTGGCCAGGTGGCCTGAGGACACGTGGACGGCACTTCTCTATTCTCCCATGTCAGCGTGTGGTGTCACGTGCATGGGTTGTACCTGGACGGAGTGTCCACCCATCGACACGGAGGGGCTGGATTTGTTTCTCAGGCAATCCTGTATTTTAATTTTAGATGTATTTCCTGAAGCATATTTTTCATAGAATGTAGCATGTAAATAGCTTTTTAAATAACTTCTTTTTTATAAAAGTAAAAGTATCTTTAGGAATTTCTTTCTATAGAGTTCTTCATTAACATTTATACGAGTTTTTTGCTGAGTCTGATGGACAGTTGGGTTCTGATGCTTTTTCCTTTTCCTTTTCTTTTGTTATTATTTTTTTTCTTTTAGGAACTAAGGTATTGCCTGAAAAACAAGTGATGTCTGTGCAGCCTTATACTCTGTCTTTTCAGAAGCAAATAGTACACAAAAGATCTATTTCCGACACATTTTGAAGATGAATCTTCAACTTTAATACCAGCTCTTTGTTTTCCTTCTTGTATGATGAGGGGATTGGGGGATACAGTTATTTTACTAGCACCTTGTGAAGTGTTTCTGTGTTTTGTGATGCTGTAATTTATTAATGTTTGTAGCTTTTTATATTTGTACATTTCTTATGAGCTTTGTTTATATACCCATTACCTGGATGTTTTGTCCATGGGAAGAGGCAGCTTGGTGGAGCCTTATCCACTCCCACTTGTCCTGGTAGGAGGGACGCAGTCTCGAGGGCCCGCGGCTGGGAGCAGGGAAGTCTCGCAGGGCCCCAGGCTCACTCAGAACCGGTGATTTTAAAGTTTTCTTTATCCTGTCCTTGTTGAACATTTATATAATCTAACCCGGACATCAAGCTGTTCCCTCTCTCTCTCTCTCTCTTTCTTTTTAATTTTATTATTATTTGGCAACATGTACATTTCTAACAAAGTTTATCGTGGCTATTAAAGTGTTTTATTTCCCAGTTCATATTACTCTTGTATTGAGTCCATGAGGTCTAAGGCAACTTAGATCAAAGTTTTAAAAAAAGTAAAATATTTCAGGTTTTGTACAGGACCATGTCTGTGTCATTTCTGCCCAGTTGCGGTTGTCCACCCCAGCAAGGAGGGCGGCAGGAAAGGCCAGGCCAGGCCCCTGCTGCCAGTGTTTCTCATGGAAAGCGTCAGATTGCACCCCAAAGTCGCAGCGCCCTTGGCTGGCCGCAAGAGTGGTCAGAAGAGACCCTCGGCCATGGGGCCACAGCCTTTGAGACCCTGGCTCTGCCAGTCCCGGCCGTGAGGGTGTCCTCGCGAGGCCTCTAGAACATCCTCAGGGACTTGGGTGTGCGGTCTGGCTCTTGGTTCCTGAGCCCAGTGAATGCACACATGTGCCCCGACATGGGCTGGACACCCAGACACACTTAAGCGTGTGCACAGTTCCAGTCTAAATTCCACACTATTCACAATAAACAAAGAAAAATAGCCCTCACCCCCAACAGATATGCTCAAATGACAGGCAAGCAGGGAAGGGTGGCAAGTGCGGGGCAGGGTAAGCATTCGTGGTGCATGGCAGGCAGGGCTGCCGGGACAGGTGAGGCCCGGTTCTGGGTGGGGGTGCACACGTGGGGAGCGGTGGATGAGACAGACACAGGAATAACCTCAGGCCATTCAGGTGGTGCAGGTGAGGGTGAGAACTGAGGACTAATGTGGAGGCTGGACAGGCCTCCCCAGTGGGGCCCTGTCTGCTACACTCTTGCCCTGCAGTGGAAGCTAGACGTGGGAAGGGCTCCAACGTCCCCATAAGCTGGAGATGGGCAGTTGGCCTAGGTCGCCCAAGTTGCCCCAGCTTGCAGGTAGCTGAGCCAGGATAAGACCTGCCTGTCTCCACCCTGAGCAAGCCTGGAAGCAGGGCCCTCCAAGGGAGGCCCTGAGCAGAGAGCCCTGAGCTGCTGGACTTCTACCCCCAGAACTGAGACAGCGGTGGGTGTTGTTCTCAGCCCCTGTGTTTGTGGTAATTCACTAGGTGCCATTCATCATGCAGCACAGAAAATGAATAGAGGGTGTGACCTTGAGCCAGGCCTTGCTCCCTGAGCCATAGTTCTCCTGAGTCCCTGCTGGGTGCTCAGGGGAAATGCCCCTCACCACATACGGCAGCTGAGCCCTCAGGAGGGTCCCCTCCAGGACCCGTGGGCTGCAGGGTGGGTGTCCCAGTGCTGCCACCAGGTGGTGCCCAAGCCGTCCAGGCTGCTAGGCCTCTCACAGGGGCTGGGCCTGGGCACGCCCCCCCAAGCCACACCCCTGGAGCCCAGCAAGAGCCAGTGGCCTCTGCATACCCTGAGGCTTCCTGGGCAGCGCGCCTGTCCTTGCTCATATCCCCCAGGAGCCCCCACATCCTCTGCCTTGCAGCCCCTGGGAGAAAGAGCGCAGCCCCTTCCAGGCCCAGGCCGGGAAGCCCCTACCATACTCAGGCTGGCCAGACCCTGAGCCCAGCATCTTGATCTTGATGGTAGAGCTGCCTGGGTGCTGCTTGGGTCCACCCCTAGCCCAGTGTCTCTGTCAGGACTGGGAGCTGGGGCCCGGCTCTGGGAGGAGCTCCGCAGGCCACCCAGCACCTCCCAGGGCCCAGGCTCCGTCCTGCACTGGACTCCTGCCGGCCCAGTGTCTGGAGGTTCAGCCCTCACCGTGCACGGCGCAGCCTGTGTTTGAGGCAGTGGTGCAAGGATCCTGCCCACGTGAGGCGGCACAGGCCTGCATGCGAGGCTCTGCGTGCGCGCCTGCCACTGGGGAGCAGGAAGCCCGAGTGGCCCTGGCTGTGGCCCTCCTGGCTTTAATGCTCCTCCCCCGCCTGGTGTCAGTGCTGACAGCCCTGTGACAGTGAACTTGGGAGGGCGAGGTCCACAACACAGGTGGACCAGCAAAGGCCCAGGCTCCGCCCTGACTGCCGCACCCTTCCTCCGCAGGGCAGGCGTCTATGGAGGCCCCCACGGGACAGTGTGGTCCGTTCTTGCAGGCAGCAGCCTGGCTGGGACCTTCCCTTCGTCTGCCTCCAGGCCCCTGACACACGAAACCAGACTGCTCCTGACCATTGCGCTGTGAGGTGAAGCATCTGGGCGCTGGCACCACCATGCTGTCGGGGCAGTGCTGGGGGCACAGGATTCAGCAACTGGGTGCTGAGTTCCCGCTGGGAAGAGGGCCACTTCCCAGCAGCGGGTGGTTCCTGTGAAGCCTGGTGCGGGGACCTGCATAACCACACGGCCCAGCCCGGCTGTCCACAGCTCAGCCTGGTTCCGCAGCTTTCCCCAGCGCCTGCCGCGTCCTGGCGAGGTGCGGGGTACGGAGAACCTTCCCCGCTTCACTGGGGCCTGAGGCCAGCCACAGCCCAAGAGGGACGTGTGGTCACTGGCCCATCTTGCCTGGACGTCCACCAAAGGACGTCCAGGCAAGGAGCCTCAGAGGAGCCTCAGCTGCTCACAAGTGGAGCTGGACCCACAGTGTCACTGCGGCCTGTAGGCCGGGAGCGTGGTGTGTGGGGGAGACAAGCCCCAGGGGGTGTGCAGGTCTGTGGGGCTCCCTGGCACCGCCCCGCCCCGTGAAAGATGGAGATATTTCCAGCAACATGGGCAGAGACTGAGGCAGGCCAGCAGGGCCCTGGGCGGGCTGAACCAAGAGGAGGGGCTGGAAGGGTCAGAGCAGAGCCCCGGGGTCATCCACACAGGGGGTGCGGCAGGCGAGGGGCGCTTGGGCTGTGCGAGCAGACGGAATGGGCTGTCAGGCACCGCAGCCTGCTGCAGGTAGGCCACAGACAAAGGGCTCCCTGCCCCTGCGCCCACATCTCCATGCCTGGTGGGGAGCTGAGCGGTGCTGGCAGCTTGGTGTGCCCCGCAGGGGCGTGCCTGTCTAGGTGCTCGGATCCTTCAGCCCCAGCCGGACCCAGAGCCCCCTCCTGAACCCACAGTTGGCAAAAATGGGTCCCACTGTCAAGCCTGTGGGGCAATGCCCAGAACAACCACCAGGGGACAGGGCAGGGCTGGGAAAAGGTGGACAGTTGCTAGAGGTTATTTAGCGCCTGGGGCTGGGGTGGGTGCTGGGACATGGGCTAAGGGCAAACAGAAATGCCATTGTGAGCGTGCTGTGAGTGCCGGGGAGCAGATAGTAAAGTCAGATCTGCTTTACCCGTAGCAAGCACCTGTGGCCATGTTACTTGGTTTATGCTTCCCAATTGCTGTCGGAGGAGCAGATAGTAAAGTCAGATCTGCTTTACCCGTAGCAAGCACCTGTGGCCATGTTACTTGGTTTATGCTTCCCAATTGCTGTCGGAGGCAGATCCTACAAGCATCTCTCGTTCACTGACAAAGGACCGAGGCAGAGTCTCACAGCTGGTAGAGCAGGGATTCAGTGCAAACGGTTGGCTTAGCAGAGGGACCTGCAAGGGGGACCCTTCTGCAGGGTCGGTGGCCGGGAGGGCAGCTCCCAAGGCCCAGAGGAAGAGCACTGTGCTGGGCAGGGCAAGGGGTGACTCAGGTACAAGGGTCCCGCAGCAGGGACAACGTGCCCTTTCTGAGGACCACTGGAGCAGAGGAGCACCGAGGAGGAAGGCGTGAGGCGCAGAGCTCACCTAAGGGCGCCTACACCGTCCTTGTGCCACTCTCCCTCCATCATGAGGCTCTCGCCCTTCCCCAGGCCTTGCAGAGCCCCAGCTCCCTCCAGGTCCCTTTCCCCTGGACCCCTGTCCCTGGCCTGGCCTGGGCCTGGCCAGGGCTCTACAGCCCTCCAGACTCCGCACGACCCTGAGCAAGGAGCCTGCTGTGCAGATGGGGACAAAGAGGGAGGGCTTGTCAGGACACACGGCTGCCAAGGGTCTCTGCTCTCCTAGTCCAAGAGGCTGGACAAAGTGTGGGAGGGAGAGTTGAGAGGGGCCACTGTCCAGGCTTCAAAAATAAAAGATATTGCTGATTTAAAAATCCATAGGGTGTTCCCAGCCCGTGTTGAAAGCAGTGTCCTCAGTAATTCCCAGCGACAGCAGTGACATGGCATTCGGATCGAAGGCATCAGACACCAGGGTCTGATGAGTCTTGTACAGTGACTACACAGCCTGTGTGGCCACATTTCCCGAGTGCCTGCTGTGTGCTGGCCCCTTTCCATGGTCCCTGAGCCTCGGCCCCTCGAGGGGACACAGCTTGGTGGTGGGCTGGGAACGCTTCCGCCAGTCTGGTCTGAGAGGCCTCTCTGAGGAGGTGGCCTTTGGGAATAGCCCATGCAAAGGCCCTGAGGCCGGAGTGAGCTTGCTGAGGAGCAGCCAGGAGGCAGTGAGGTCAGGAGAGGGGCTTGAGAGCTCATTCCTTCCATCCCTTGGCAGGCCCTTACCCAGCCTGGCTGTGTGTAGCCTTGGGGGTGGCCTGGGCCTCCTCATCACCGAGGTGTCCCAAGGCCAACCTGCCCTGAGCTGCCAGCCCCCTGAGGGGCACTCCCCTACTCCTCTGCAGGCCTGTCCAGAAGGCCCGGGTCACCGCGTGACCTTGAGCAGGTCACTTTTCCTCTTGGGCCTCTTTCTCCATCTGCCTTCCTGATGGCGAGGATGCCCAGAGCTGAGGCAGGTGAGGGGTATCTCCTCCTGCGCCCTGACCTTTGTCCTCTCAGCCTCAGAAAGGGCCACACATCTGTGAGGGCCTGCAGGGCTGCCTCAGGCCACCAGGCCCCTCCCGAGGGGCTCTGCAGTGGGAGGTGGCTGTGCGGCGGCTGGAACCCGCGGCTCCTTCTCCCTGTGCAGCCGGCCCACGCCTAGGCATTTGCTCCTTTTCAATTTGGGGCTTCCGTATTTTGGAGTAAATCCTTTTCTCCCACAATTCACAGTTTTCATCCCCAGAGCCCTGGGGACAAGGGACGGGCCCTGCCGGGTGGGGTGCCGAGTGGGTGAGGGGAGCGAAGGCGGAGGCTGTCGGAGCCTGACAAACGGCCTCCGGAGAAGGCCTGGCCCCGCGGTCCCGCTCAGCGCTACCGCCCCAGGGCCTTTCCCAGACCGCCTCGTCCAAACAACCCAGGGATGCCACCTCGACAGAAAAATGATGCTGTTCCATTAACATCTGACACGGATTTGCAGGCCCCAAACAGATGAGCGAGCGTGTAAACACCCGGCCCCGCCGGCCTCCAGGCAGGATCCTCATAATTAATTGTCCCCTGCGGCCGCTCCCCCCCAAGGAGGCAGCCAGAGCTACTCCAAACGGCATCCCTCCCATCACCGTCTCTGCGAACAGCGGATGTGTGGGCGGCCCAGCAAGGAGCCGCAGGCAGGAAAGGCCTGCAGAAGGCCCAGGGTCGCCCCAGGGCTGCCAGGCGGCCGGGGTGTGGTGCGGTGGGTGCGGGGCCACCTGCCGGGCCACCTGCCAGCAGAGCGTGGTGCACCCTGCCCGCCTCTGGGACAAGCTCCTGGGCTGCCTGGCTGGGGGCGCAGCAGCACCGGCACTGCCTTTCGTCATTTCTACTCATTTCGGCTGATTTAATAAGTGCATGAGGCTGCCTCCACGTCAAGACATGCATCTTTTTGCCCTAAGGAGGGAGAATTTTTTCCATGTGTTGTCCAGAATCAGGAATGCCGTGTATGTACACCAATAATACATTTTGTCTGCTTGTCACAGGGAAATCTTACATAAATGTGCAGCAATTCACATATTTAGTAGAGTAAGCTCTGGCCTGCTACAGTCCCAGGAGCACATTTGTACTTCCTTCTTTTTGGGGTTCCTTTCTTTCAGAGTTTAGGAAAACTGCACGCCTTTGCCTCCAGGGGGCCATCTAGGGTCTCAGGGGCTCTGCTCTCCGGCTGGGGACCCTGGTTAGCTGTGACTCGGGCACAGTCATCTAGCCCCTGGGTGCCGCCAGGATTGCAGAGATAAAGCACCTTAGCTCAGTGCCAGGTTGGCAGTGTTTGCCGGGGTCATCGCTGCTCAAAACGCCGTCTGTCTCACCTTTAATCGGGGAATACAGCCCTCTGTCCTTACTACTTACTTTTAAAGCCACTTAAGGCTCCACTGTTGTGTTGCAATTCTCGGCGTGCTGGGAGCCCTGAGTAAACGCCCGCTGACGTCCGGGGGGTGGCACACAGATGCCACTCAGAAACGCGAGCCCGGGCGGGAGTCTGGGCAGCTCTGCACCGCCGGGGAGCGGGCGCCGGGCGCGGGCCTCCGCCAGCACGGCCCTGCGGCTCCGGGGAGACTCAAATGAGGCACCTCCGGGAACCTTACCCTTCGCGATGCCGCTTTATGATGTGTTTCCAGTCGATGAAATCGTTGGTGTTGATAGGGAAACACCCCCCCCCCCAGGGCTGAACTCACTGCTGATTGGATGGTAAAGCTTGTTGCTGATTGGACGCTTTTTGAATCCCCACCAAGGGTATAAAAACCGGAGAACAAGGAAGCGGGGTCAGATCCTCTCTGAGCCGCTGCGGGACCAAGGCTGATTCTCCGACTGCCTGTGGGCCGCTGGGTTCCTTCCCCGGCCAGTCGCTGTTACCCTTGCCAGAACAGTGTCCTCCCTGGACAGATGTGCTGTGAACCCAGAAGCGACTCTGGAGGCGGGCGGGGAGCCTCGGCGGCATCCACACTTCGGGCAGCGAGGGGAGGGCCACCGCGTCCCGTTCGGGACCTCCCCCCACTAAGTGCAGCTGTTCTCTGGCTCAGCTCTGCCCCCCACACAGCCTCCCAGGCCCCTACACCAGCCCTGCCCTATGTCACTCTGATTCCCTTCTTCATCAGCCCAGTTCAGTTTTGAAACACCATCTCTTCTGCTCACTCCCCAGCTCAATCATCTTCTGTGGCTTCCTGCTGTGTATGGGACCCTGACACTCTAGGCCCCCATTCTCTCATGCCTCAACTCCCACAGCCCCAGCAGGGCATCCTTTGGGTAGTCAAACAATCTTCCCCTAGCCCATGTCACCCCTGAAGAAAGTCTCCATACTCAACCCTGCGCTGGCTGGTGCTGGGGCCATGAGGGTGAGCCAGCTGTGGCCCTGCCCTGGGGTACCCCCAGCTCATGGGCAAGTCAGAGCATCAGTAGCTGGTGGGCGGTGGGATGGCAAGGTGGACTGTATGGCCAAGACCCTGAAGAGGAGAGGGTTGAAAAGCAAGGTAAGGAGGCAAGCAGGGACTTGTAGAAAAGAAGTGGCCCAGGTGGAGTCTCAGGGGAAGAGACAGTGACCCTAACAGGGGAAGAGGGTGTTGGAGGAAGGAGGCTCCAGGCAAAGGGGCATGTGTGGTGCAGGCTGGGGGCAAGAGTGGGATGAGAAGGACGGGGGCGGGTGGCAAGTGTGGGCCTCTAAGTAAGGAAGGGGAGGCTGGGTTGGGCCTGGCCCTGCAGGGGTGGATTAGGATGCCAAGGCATCTGGTGGCCCTTCTAGGGTCTGGGTTGTCCCCATTTTCTCCTGTGAGGCCGCCAGTGATGCATGCCTTGAGAGTGCACAGGCAGGTGGTCGGGGGCATGGCCAGGCAGTAGGGAGGTGGGACTGGACCCTTCTACATGGTGGGCTGGGCTGCCCTATCCAGGCAGGCCTGGGGCTCCTGGAAGCCCAGACAGCAGAGGGCAAGGCCTGAAATCCCCCAGCCCAAGCCAGGCAAGTGGCCTTTGGCCCTCAATCCCACAGTCCCCTGAGGGGTGCACACGCCCTCCCAGTCTCACCCCAAAGTGGCCGGACTCAATGAACTGGAACCAGCTGGCTCTGGGGACAGGGCCTGGAGAGAAGGTTTCCCTTTGTCTCAGCTCTGGGGTTCAGGCCATAAACCAGGCCAAAGAGAAGCAGGAATGCAGCTCTGGGGCTATTGTCCTGGCCCCACCCACTGGCAGTACAATGAGTTACTGAGGCTAAATGACCTGGCTGTTCTCATCTAAAAGCAATCATACCTCTGGCTCATGGGAGACACAGGTCCTCCGAGCTGGGAAGCCCCATGGGAGTTCAGGCAAGGAGCATTGAGAGACTGAAAAATAAAACCATGTGATCAAAAATCACTTGATGAAATTGAGCACCCATTAAAGACAAAAGTTTTCAGGAATGTAGAAATATTAACAGAAGGGAATATCCTGATAAAGGAAACCTCTGCATACCTTATAGTGAAGAGATTCAATTTTTTCCCAGAAGAACAGAATTGGGTAAGGAGGTCCACTCTTAGCACTTCCTTAAACAATGTATTTAGCCACTGCAGTAGGCAAGAAAAATAAAAAATAAATAAAGGATTACAGAATATTCACAGGTGGCATTATTGTGTACATAGAAACTCCTAAGAAGTCTACTGAAGAACCAGTGGAACTATTTTGAGCAAAGACCTGGAGCATGAATCAGTTTTGTGTGTAATGGCCCAAGGAGGTGATAAAGAGGAAAAGTGATAAGACTGGGGATTGGCAAAGGCCAGTTTATCAAGATTATAGAATATAAGATCAGCACTAAAACATCAATTGTATTTCTAAATACTAGCAATGAACAATTAGAAAATGGATTATAAAACAATACTTTTTTTAAATTTTAACTTTTTTATTTTAGCGCATTATGGGGGTACAAGTGTTAAGGTTACATATATTGCCCATGCCCCCCTCCCCCCTCGAGTAAGAGCTTCAAGTGTGTCCATCCCCCAAATGTTGCATATCTTACTCGTTGTGGTTGTATATACCCATCCCCTCCTCCCCCCTCCCACCTTCCTGACACCCGATAAATGTTACTCCTATATGTCCACTTAGGTGTTGATCCATTAATACCAATTTACTGGTGAGTACATGTGGTGCTGGTTTTTCCATTCTTGAGATACTTCACTTAGTAGAATGGTTTCCAGCTGTATCCAGGAATATACAAGAGGTGCTATATCACCATTGTTTCTTATAGCTGAGTAGTACTCCATGGTATACATACACCACATTTTATTAATCCACTCATAAATTGATGGGCACTTGGGTTGTTTCCATAGCTTTGCAATTGTGAATTGTGCTGCTATAAACATTTGAGTGCAGGTGTCTTTTTCATAAAGTGACTTTTGATCTTTTGGGAGATCCAATGGAAGCTGGACAAATGTAGATGCTACTGTATCACTTAAGATATCTCCCATATGCTTCAACACGGGTTGAAACTAAGTGCAGTCCCACCAGCATGTAAGAGTGTTCCTCCTCTCCCATCCACGCCACGCATTTGGTTGGGACTTTGATAAGGCCATTCCACTGAGTTAAGTGATACATTGTGGTTTGATGCTTCCTGATAGAGAATGTGAGCATTTTTCATATGTTGTTGGCCATATTCGTCTCTTGAAAGTTCTGTCATCTTGCCATTGTTGAGGGTTTGATTCTGCTGATCTTCCTGAGTTCTAAATAGACTATTATCAGCCCCTTATTGATTGTAGCTTGTGAAAATGTTCCATTCTGTAGGTTGCTGGTTTGCCTCGTGACATTTCTTGGCTGTGCCAGAACTTAATGGATCAGTCATGTTAGTTGTTGCTGTTGTGATTGCCTTGGGGTCTCTTCATAAATTATTCCTAGGCCAATGTAGAAGGTATTTCCAACATTCCTCTAAATCTAAAGTTTCACACTAAGATTCAATCTGTTACCCACATGAGTGGTTTTATGATGGTGAAAGGTGTGGGTCTTGTTCAGTCTCACATGTGGTCTATCCATTTTCCCAGCCCCATTCAACTGGAAATAAGGATTCTTTTCCCCAGTTAGCTGTGGTCGCTTGCAAAGATTCAGTAGCAGATGAAATTGGTTTATATCTGGTCCTGTCTGTTCACTTGGTCTTTAACATAGGATAAAAAAACATAAAGACGAAGGATGATAAATTTAACACCCATATTACAAACTAACATACTCAAAAACTAACCAAACTGCTGAGAGAAATTAAAGAAGATTAAAAAAGAAGAGATTAATTTGTGTTATCAGTTGAAAATCAATATTTAAGATTTTGATTTTCCCAAACTGAATGCAGTTCCAATCTTAGCAATATTTTTTGTCAGAAATTGACATAAAATCAAAGGACCTAAACATCCAAACAACTTTAAAAGAATAACAGAATTAGAGCACTATACGCCTTGATTATAAGTTACACAGACTTATATTAAGCTAAATAAACAAAACAATGAGTAAAAAAAATGAACTGGATGGATATTCAGAAATTAATCGCATGTAATATGCCAATTGATTTTTCTTTTCGTTTTTTTTTTTTTTTTGAGAACATAGTCTCACTCTGTTGCCTGAGCTAAGTGCTGTGGCATCAACTAATCAGCTTAGCAAGCAACCAGCCTCACACTCCTGGCTCAAGCAATCCTTCTGCCTCAGCCTCCAAAGCTAGACTACAGGCATGCCCACCATGCCCGCTAATTTTTTCTATATATTTTTAGTTGGCCAATTAATTTGTTTCTATTTATAGTAGAGATGGGGTCTTGCTCTTGCTCAGGCTGGTTTTGAACTCCTGACCTTGGGATCCACCCGCCTTGGCCTCCCAGAGTGCTAGGATTACAGACGTGAGCCACCACACCCAGGCAGGTCAATTGATTTTCAATGAAGGTAGTCAGGCATTTCAATATGTGAAAGGAAAACCTTTTCAACAAATGGTGCTGGAAAAACTAGATATCTGCCTGGGGGTAAAAATGAATTTTGACTCTTAACTCATACCATACACAAAAATTAAGGCCACAGAAATCAGAGGCCTAAACTTAAATGGTAAAACAATACATTTTTTAGAACAAAACACAGGAGAAAATCTTCACAAACTTGTATAGGCAAAGATTTCTTAGACTAAACACAAAAAGAACAAAACATAAAAAATTGACAAACTGGACTTCACCAAAATAAAACATTTTCTCTTTGTAAGTTTCTAATAAGAAAATTAAAAGGCAAGCCACATGAAAGGTGTAAACCTGCAGACTGAAGAAGCTAACTGAATCCCAAATAGTGTAAACCCAAAGAAATCCATGCCAACCAAGACACATCAGAGTTAAACTTATGAAAATGACAAAGAAAATATCTTTTTAAAAAGTCAAAGAGAAATGGCACATAAAGGAGCGCCAATTCAAATGACAGCAGATTCCTCATCTGAAACCATGGGGTTTAGAAGGAAGTGGTGTACAAATTTCCAAGTGCTGAAAGAAAAGAACTGTTAGTACCTCAAATCCTATATTTGGTGAAACTATCCTTCATGAGTGAAGAGGAAATAAAGACATTCTGAGAGTATTGAACACTAAGAGAATTTGTTGCTAGCATGCCTACTCTTTAAAAAATGTCTGAGTAAAGAAATAGTAACATAAGAAGACTGGAACCTTCAGAAAGGGAAGAAGAACAAAAGAATAGATAAAAACAAAACGTGTAATGGTGAAAATAAAGTTAATGGAATAGGTAAAAATAGAGGTAAAATAGAAGTAAACTCTTCACCACAGGAGTTTCTGTAATCATATTTTGTGGTTAAAACAAAAGTAATACCACCCTCAGATGTGGTGCTCAATATTTGCAGAGGAAATAATTAGGTACATTATATTTTGAAAATTGGGATCCTAAAGGAAGTCTAAGTGGAAGTAAGATTTATAGACATCGCTCAGGTTGGTAAAACATCTACATTATTGGGATAAGATACATAATGTACGTATACCATGATGCCTAGAACAGCCACCAAGAAAATAATATGGAGCTATATACTCAAGATTATTACAAATAAATCAAAATGAAACTCTCAAAAATTTTAACGTAACCTACTGGAAGGCAAGAAAAAAGAAAATGAGGAATAAAAAACAAAAGGGACAAATACAAAATAATAAAATGACAGACTTAAGCTGTAGTGTGTCAGTAATTGATTTAAATGTAAATGATCTAAATACATTAATTAAAAGACAGATTGGCAGTGTGGATAAAACATGTCCCAACTAATTGCCATCAAAAAACTCATTTCATGGAGCCAGGCATTATGGCAAATGCACCTGTAGTTCTAGTTGCTCAGGAGGCTGAGGTGGGAGGATCCCTTGAGCCCAGGAGTTAGAGGCTATAGTGTGCTATGATCATGCCTGTGAATAGCCACTGCACTCCCGTCTGGGCAACACAGAGAGAACCCATCTCAAGAGAGAGAGAGAAAGAGGAGAGAGAGAGAGAGAGAGAGAGAGAGAGAGAGAGACGAGAGGAGAGAGAGAAGAAAAGGAAGGAAGGAAGGAAGGAAGGAAGGAGGAAGGAGGAAGGAAGGAAGGAAGGAAGGAAGGAAGGAAGGAAGGAAGGAAGCTAGCTCACTTCAAACATAATGACATAGGTGAAAGTAAACAGATGGAACAAGATTATTTCATTGCAAGCATTCATTTTATAAAAAGGATGATTAGCTACATTAATACTACATAAAGTCAAAGAGGCAAAGAAATATTACTGAGGCAAAACAGAGACATAATGATAGAAGCATCAATCCATTAGGAAGGATATAGGAATCCTAAATGTTAGTGCACTAACGACCAGACCTTCAAGTACACATGAAGCAAAAACTGACCAAAGCTGAAGGAGAAAGAGAAAAATCCATGATTTGGTTGGGACTTCAACATGACCTCTTTAGCAACTGATAGAACATAGAATACTCAACTGAACAACAAAAGCAAATACAGATTTCTTTCAAATGGGTCGTAGGACATTTACCAGATAGACTATATTCCTGGGTCATACAAAACAAACCTTAACAACATTACAACAGAAATTGAAAATCATATGAGGAATGTTCTTTGACCATATTGAATTATCACCTTAGAAATCAATAAAGACAAAAGGAACATTCCAAACACTTGAAAAGTAAACAACACCGTTTCCAAATAACTCATAGGACAAAAAAAGGATATCCAAGAAAATTCAAGTAATAAATATAACTGAGTAACAATATAAAAAGCATATATTAAAATTTGTGAGATGCAGCAAAAGCCATCCGAAGAGGGAAAATTTATAGCACTAAATGCTAACATTATTATTTTTTATTTTTTTAAATTCAGGATATTATGGAAGTACAAACATTTTGGTTACATGAAATGCATTGCCTCCCTCCAAAGCCAGGGCCCCCATTAGTTTGGGGTCCTTTGTCTCTCATAAATAATGGGCCCATTCTTCCAATTAGCTTGTTGGGTGACGCCACCCACCTGCTTCCCTACCCCCCTAACCCTCCCTCCCGCCCGCTTTGAACCACCACCCCGTTTTGAGTATTTCAAACTACCCTAGTGGAAAGCACCTAACAACGTTTGTTTGAAATCAATTAAGTTTGAACA